GTTTACCAGTCTAGCGGGGAAGAGGAGATAGGACATGAACTGCAACTTTCTCCTCGATGTACCCACCACATCTACTGCCTAGCACAGCACCTGTGACATGTTTTTGTACTTATTTATCAGTCCTTCTCTTGTCGTGCTAGTCCATAAACTCCATGAAGGCAATTATCACACCTTCTCCCTCCTGGTATCCTCAAGCATAGCACAGTGCCTGGCACAAAGAAGGTGCTTCAGAAAAGGTTGATGAATTATAAATGAACACAGAGAAAACCATCAAAGGCAGGGAAAGAAGACATCAGTGTAGATCAGAATAGTTCTAGAAGTCAAGACAGCCTTGGGCTAAAACCTTAAGTACAGGTATATTTAGAAACACACAGAGGGAAAGGATAGGCATTCTAGGCAGACAGGACATCACCAACAAAGACCTGGCAGTAACCAGAAACATGGTGCACAGTATGTTAGAACCAGAAAGAGTTTTAAACATGACTTAGTCCAAAAGTTCAATTCTCATGGGGATGTTGTAAACATTCAATTAAAAAAAACTATGTACTACTAAGCAGAGGAGCTGGCATATCACAAACATTCACTAACTGGTAGCTAGTATTACTATTACTCAAAAATAATAATTGTCAAACACTTAGTAGGAACCTGTTGTATGCAAGGCAGCATGCTGAGGGAAGGAACTACAACAATAAGCAAGACAGATCTGGACTCTACTCTCTCATTTAGCTAAGAGTCTAGTGGGGAAGACAGACAAAATAATCCTTGGTAGACCTGGGCTAGGAGAAGAATGGGGGGTGGGGGGGCTGAAGGAACAAAGAGTAGGGTCACCCAATCAGCGGGCAGTAAGAAAGAACTCCCTGATTATCAAAGTGTGTCTTGAGACACCCGAGGGGTTCTGAGTCCCCTCAAGGACCCCAAGGCTTCAAAGCGAGATTTTGCTTGAATAAAAGGTATTGTGGCTAAATAAAGGTTTAAAAACCACCAATCTAGTTCAATCTCGTCTTTTAACAAGAATAAAACAGGGCCCAGATGAGGTAAATTACACACTTGAGACAACAAATACTTCGAGTTAGTTGTAGACTGGGATACTTGCTTTGAACTTGAGCCGGAAACTACTCACTGATCTGCATGATATCACATCATTCTGGCAGATGAACAAGCACTGGGGGTAGACGCATCCAGAATTCACAGGCACTGGCCAGGCAGGCTGGCTGGCCCTGATTGGATGTTGACATGCTTTTTCTACCCTAGCTCCCAAGCCAGCTCTCTGTGCCAAAATGATGCCTCCAATTCCTCTCTGAGGTTGGCCAGCCTCACCTTCCAGGAGGAACTCACTGGCTCCAGGAGTAGGTCTGCTTCTGGGCCACCTATCTCGTAACCATGCTTTATCCTACTAACATCCTCCAGCACCACGTGGTTTGGCAAGTTGAGAACAAGAACTGAGTTTAACCAGTTATCACAGCCTGTTTAATACCTAGCCTGAGCTGGCTAGACCCATCTCTCATCTCCCTAAATACCATTAAGCTAATCACTCTTCCCATGGTGGGGGAGAAGGGGAGGGGTCCAGCAGAATCAAATTATCAGTAAATTAAAGGACCTGTATAGAAAAACCAATATTCCTTTGGTTAATCCTTACTTTTACACCTCTCAGGAATGAAATGCTACTTCGTGTTTTGGAGATGAAACTTCTGTATATAAAGAAAGGGGTAGTTGACTTGTTTAGATAAGTCTGCAGTTTAGGTCTTCAAACTGAGGGGAAACAAATACTTTGGAATCTGGAAAAAAAATGGGTTTAAATCTTATGATACCACTTAGTAGTTGCAAGATCCTTGGCATTCTCATAATACTCTGAACCTCAACTTTCTTGATCATAAATAGGGAAAACTAATGAAACTACTGTCACAAATCGGAGACTCAAAATAATACTCTTTGGAATCTCAGTCACTTATGAAATGTACTGTATCAACTTTCACATGATATCATAAGACCATACAGTTTTAAATTACCTATCCCCAGAGCATAAAGAATGGAGAAATGGAACCAAGGTGCTCTGTACAGCACGGGCTAAGCTCAGGATAGCACAGGCAGACCTGGGTTCAAATCTGCACCTCCCAGCTCACCAACTGTGGAATCCTAGGAAAGTTACACCAATCTCTTTAGCCTCAGTCTCCTCATGTATAAAATGCAATTAATACCACCTAACTCACAGATAATGTAAGTAAAGGACTTTAAACAGAGGCTGGTTTATGGTAAGGACTCAATAAACAGTAACTTTTTCCAGCAGTAGCTCATTTCCTAAACCCTCTTTTCCATACACCTCTGCAACACCAGAGAAACACTTAGCAAAGCCTAAATTACCTCAATTACTAGAGAAACAAATAATGAAAAGACAAAAGAGGAAAGAAATGAATGAACTGCTGACTGCTATTCCAGACAACTTATCATACTAATGGCATCTGATATTGGAAAACACAGGTACAATATCCTGAAGAACAAAACCACAGCATGTACAATCGTCCCAAAGAAGTGGCACAGAGCACAACTGCGGCTTAGTTAGGCTATCCATTACCATTATCTGGTCCCCACAGTAGTCTCTCTACCAAACAGAAAGGGCTACAGAGAGACAACTGTGACACCACATGCAAGTCACTACTTCTTTGTAAACCGAACCTTTATTTTTTCAGCTCAAAACCCATCTCTAACACAAAGATTTTACTGACTCCCCCTAGCAGACTCAACTGCTTGCCCCATTGAATTTTTTACACACTTCCATTATAACAATTATCTAGCACTATAGAGCTATTTGCATGTCTCTTCCCTACACTCTAAGTTGGTAAAGATCCTGTCTTACCTTTGAATTGCCAGTGCATAACACACAGTAGAACTCCATAATTACAAATTATAAGGATGGATTTCACCTTTTTGTTCAGTAGTTAAGGCTGCTAAGAAACAGCTGGGTAGACTTTAGTATTACATAAACTAAGGTCTGCCAGACCAGACCTCCGGGTTTTTGTTTGTTTGTTTAGGGGAAGGGAGCTTGAAGGGATAACTGGCTGTTCCTACTTCTCAGAGTTATTTCCTTAAACACACAAAAGATACAACCAGTCCATATAGAATTTCCAGGCCACAAATCATATTCTTTCTCAGTAAATAAAACAAGTAACAGAAGCTTCTGGGACAGATGCTAGTGGGTTACATATAAAGCTGACCTCTAGGCATGACACTCTAAGTCTATAATATACTCATAATAAGTATATTATACAACTAGAAGCTCTTAAGTTCTTAAAACATAAGGAAAGAAAAGCTAAGAAGCAAAAATCAAAAACGTCTTACAATCAAAACTTTAAGTTTTCTTCTCTGCTAATACTTTTGCTCTTTATCTCAATGAACCCTGATACATGTAACTGAAATTAGCCTCCCTCAAAGGAGAGCTCATGACTAACAAACCATATGTAATAACTTCAATACTAAATTTACTTTTTCCAGGGCGCTTTCAAATATATCTCACTGAACCACAGCCAACTGTAATCATAGAAACTTAAAGCTGGAAGGGGCCTTGGAGGTCATTTCCACAATCACCCCATGTCACCAGCCGAGTGGTATCCAAACACCTCTAGTGGTTGGGAGGTATGGGTCTAAAATGCTTCTTTAAAAATCTCCCCCTGCTCTAACCACCTGTCGGTTACTCAGTCTCCTGCCACCTTAATGATCCCAATCAGGTAAACCAAATCCACCAAGTCATCCCACCACCAAGCAACAGTCTTGACTTCTCAAGTCCACTTCTACTCCCTTTTCTCTGAGCCTCTCCCTGGTCTTCCCCAGTCACCCACAAAAAACACAGCCAGGGCCTCTAAGATTCTGATCACTCAGAGATACCCTTGGTTCCATTCCTGACAATCAATCCCCTTCCTCTATATGGTCTATATGCTGTCCTGTGCAAGGCCACAAGCACCCCTTGTTCTGAATGTACCTTTGGCCTCCAGAATCATCTCCCTTTCCTTTCTCACCCTCTCTTTACTTCTCAGAGCTGTCCCTTCATTCCTTTCAAACTCAATGTCTCTTTCCTCCTAGTGATTCAAGGACCACTGGTAATTGAATACATCCCTTGTTAAATGCCTATTAAACAGGTAAAGGGGACATACATCCTCAAGGAACTCACTCTCAAAGAACTCATACGTTTAGAAGGAGCCAGAAATAGAGAATCATTTACCCCATAAGACTCAGTTCCTTTGGGAATCCTTCCCTAGCCCAAACTAATTTGGTCCCCTCTTTTCAGTGCCATCATTATACCTCTGATGCAGTGACTAGTCTTCCTTGTGTGTCTCCCACCACTAGGCTGTGGGCTCTTCAATGGGAGGGCCCCTATGTCCCTAGCACTTAGCCCAGGACTCAGCACAAAGATGATATGTAATATTTGTTAAATGAGTGAATGGATGAATTCCGGTATATAATCATTCATTCATCCATTCAGTGCCCAAAATTTTACTGAGTACACATTATGTACAAAGTCCTAGAGTGTAAGTATAAATAAAATAGTTCTTACATAAAAATAACGCTATAATAGTAGTAGATTAGCACTCTTCCCCGGTCCGCGTCCCCAACCCCCACCCCAAACCTAGCCTCCCCTCTCCCACAGCGAAAGCCCGGCCTTTCCTTACAGAAGTCCACGCCCCTCCAACTCAAGCTACCTCTCAGCCCTTCAGTCCTACCCTAGGACCCCCAGCTAATAATCTCAAATCTTAACGCCCCCATCCTCTCTGGCTTCTCTCCCTATCTTCCATCTCCACCCTTGAGGTTACTGCAAGTCTTCTACCCCCATGTCCACCTCCGAGTCCCCGAGTCCAGGGTACCTCTGATTTCCCTCTCCGCGCACCCGCCCCCCAGTTCGCTCCTTCCCTCAGGGTCCCGCCTCCCCAAGGACCCTACTCCTGATACCTCTCCTCCCCTCCCTTCAGTTTCAGGCTGAGCCTCTCCCCTCCTTTACTCTGAACTCTTCTTACCTCATCTAGCTCCCGTTCCCCGCCAGCACCTCCTCCAACCTCCACCTCCACCACTGCCGCCATCTTCACAACTCTCCCCCTCCCCCGTCCCCGCGCGAGCCAGCTGCTTCCGCCGCTCAAGTGCTCCTAACCAATCGGCGGCTCGAGCTCCAGCAGGGGGGCGGGGCATCAAGACAGGCGGAGCTCCGAGAGGGACTAAGAGACCATCTACCTGCTACTCCTTAAAGGTCAGGGAGGGCCGGTTTCCATGCACTTCCAAGCTTCGGTGGAGGAGGGTTCTTGGAGAATGAGAAATTGGACTTGTATTATTTTTAGTGAAAATATTTCACCAATTTTCCCCTTTGGACAGCCAAAGAGAAGAGTCTCTAAACCGTCAACTTTCGCGACGCTCCCTCACTCTGAGCTGCAAGGAGTGAAGCGTGGAGGCTGAGGACTACATTCCCCAGAATGTATTGACTCTGACCCGGAAGCTTAAGTTCCGCGCTCTGGACAGATTTGTAGTGAGTGTAAATTTGCATAAAATATACATTTAAAAATAGACATAAAACATACATAGATACACACGAATGTATTTTGCTGATTATAGCACATGTCTTCTTGCCTCGATGGAAGTCATCTTTCAGAAACAGTGGCTTCTTGAGGCCACAGAACAAATTCCCGGACTTGGGGAAGCGTAGAGTCGTGCTCCGGGTCAGAAGGCGGAGGTCAGAGGGCAGAATTGGCGGGAGAATGGGTTTGTGGTCCACGATCTGAGGCAGCGGTGGCTCTTCGAGGTCCGTTGTCCCGGGTGAGGGGCTTTGGGGGGTTGTTGATGGGGAGGGGAGTTGCCGAGAATGGGTGGCGGTCAAGGAATGCACAGAACAGAGCGTTCCGGGGCGCGGGGGAAGTGGCTGCGCCGCTTAGCCTCCTGAAGCTGAGAGAAGAGCCTTGCGGGACCTCCGCGGCCCCCAAACTGCTTCTTGCGCTCTCACGCCTTAGGGTTGCTTTACAATCTCGGTACTCTCTCCTACCCCACATCGTGCGTCCTCAGCTCCTATCTTTACCCCCACCCATACACCTTATTCTCTGTGCCGCACCCCAATTTAAAGCTTCCTAACTCATTTCCAATCCCTCGTTACCTGTATATCCGGACCCAACACCTTACAAACCTATGGCCCCTGCGCACTTACCCCCTGGGCGTCCCAGCTGGATCTGTGGGGTGAATAGTGCTAGGATGACCAGTGGACTCAAATTAGAGTACATGTCAACTTTATTTTAGGACCAACAGGAAGTTACAGGGTAATATTTACACCATCTACAGGCATCTTATTTACTTAAAATGGGAATTATTTTTATTATGCAAAAGAATGCAGAGAATATTATAAATACCTTATAACCCAACCACCCCACATTGACTGTTGACATCATGATCTATTTGTGTCCTCATTTTTTAAAAAGATAAAGTAATACGGATAAAGGTTGAACTTATTTGTGTCTTCTTCTCTCAGACCCATTACTCTTAAATCTTTCCCAGACACAACTATTACCACAATTAACTGGGTATTCTCCCAGTCCATTGAGAAAAATTCTGGGTAGTCACAATGTAATTGTATTATTTCATTTTGTTTTTTGATGAAAATAAGTGCTATTTTCTATATCATTCTGTAACTTTTTCACTATATTTTTTGAGGACTGTCCATGTTTATGTATATTTACATCTAATTCATTTCTTTTAATTCTTAGGTAGTGTTCCATTATATAATATATATAGTATTTTACTATTCCATTTATCCATTCTTCAACTAATGGACATTAGAATTTTATGTTTTTTGCTATTAGAAATACTGTATGTGTCTGTACACATATAAGTCCCTCTAGAGCTGGACTGTTCAAATAAGTTAACTACAAGCCACACATATGTGGCTATTCTTGAAATGTAGCTAGTCAGAATTAAGATGGGCTGGAAGTGTTTATGAGAGGGCCAATCCTTTACATTGTAGACTTTTTAATTTTTAATTTTTTCTGGTCTTAGAGGAAAAGTATACGCAATTTCCTTATTACCAGGAAGTATGAGGATTTTTGGTCATTCGGGTCTTATGTGAATTGTATTTCTATCTTATTTCCAGTTTTCTATTGGACTGTTTGCCCTTTTTTTTACCGATTTGTAATACTTAAAAATATATATTCTGAATACTATCCAAGTTTTTATGTGTTGCAGATACCTTCTTCCAGTAAGTCATTTTTATTTTAACTTTGTTTTTGTTACCTTAAAGTATTTTTCATGTTTCCATCTTTGATCCATTTGAGTATAATTTTTTAAATATGTTATGAGATAGGGATCTACTTTTATTTTTCTTCACAAGTGGGCCAATTTTTTGAACACCACATATTCCTTCATCTTTTTTTGACAGACTCATGCTTCTGTTCTATCTTACAATCAAAAGACGGTAAATTCCCATTTATTTGAGTCTGTTTCTGGAATCTGTTTGATCTGTCTTTTTAGAATTGTTATAGCAATTTGTGGCCCTTTATTGGTTGATGAGTTTGTCATGTTTGCCAGAAACTTCTGCAGAAATCTGATTGGAATTATATTGACTTAATAAACTACTCTTTTCAATGGCTCTTTATGCCTGCTGTATTTCAGCACCTCCCATAGGTAGTGCCAAAAGTGGGAGATGATGAGCATAACAAAAATTCACATCCTCAAAGTGCTCACTACTTATTGGGGAGACACACAGAGTAAACATGCCATTGCCAAAAAAAAGACGACAGTATATACAAGCGCAAGGAGGTTGGAAACTTAATCTTGGAGAACTGCAAGCAATTTGATAGACTATGATCTTCATGAAAATGATTGTATATATCTTATTCATCGTTGTGTATCCAGTACCAGTACGGGGCCTTGTACCTACTAGACACCCCCAAAATATTAACTAAATAAAATATCCAAGATTGACAGCTTCAGGGTCTCCAAGCCTAGAGTATAGTTTGGGGCTGGCCAAGTCAGTCATCTGTATGTTAGTGATGAGAAATGGTGGAGTTTTCACATCAGATCACAAATGGGATACTGGGAGTTTCTCCAAAACGGAGACCATATCATTTATTTTTATAAATCCAATGTATCTCTGTATGCAGAGAGTAGGAAAAATTGCTGAAGTTCAGTGAGTTCCTATTGTGGGAATAATCAACTCTAATTAATCTGAAGACCTGGAGAGGTGACTCAGGATTCATCTTGCATTCTTCTCTCCTTGAAGCCATGGCACCATATTGAATGTGACCTGTGAGGAGTGCTTGACCTTTGGATGACCTTTACTAACTGTTACCACTGTCATAGCAGTCTGCCCCACTATGAGCACTCTGTGACTGCTAGCCCATTGGAGCTCAATTTTTATGGTCATTCATTCAGCAGACATTTGCTAATCTGTTTCTCCCTCTTACATTGAGGATACAGAATTGAATTAGACATGAAGCCTGTCTTCCAAGAGCCTACAGTTGGTCAAGGAACATAGACATATACCCAGATAATTGTAACACTGAATCAAGAGGATGGAGCTATCACTTGAGCTGGTTGAGGTGGAAGTGATATTTTGAGCATCAAAGATGCATTCGATTTGACAAGTGCAAAAGGGAAAGAGCATTCCAACCAGAGGTGATGGCATGAAGAAAGGCTTGGAGATGGGGGGAGGGGGGAATTGGGGGTTGAGGGAGCGGGGAAAGAGGCAAGAAGACCAAACATTATGGCCAAGAATTTTTCAGGGGTCATGGACTCATTCTCAGGGGCCAGATGGGTAACGAACATGGGTAAAAAAGGGCAGGGTATAAATATTTGGAGAGAGATCCTACCTAAAGGCATTCAGACAACTTTAAAACACCTCTAGCCAAGGAATTGTTGAAGCTAGGTGATGGATGGGTAAGAGTCCATTATACTAACATGTATGGTTTTCGCATATATTTAAAGTGTTCCATAAAAAGTTTGGCAAAAGACAAAGTACAAATATCCATAATGAACTTTAATATAAAATAAAACAGTGAGAGGTAAAACGCATCCTCTGATGAAAGGAATAGGAGCAGATGAAGCAGAAAATGTAGAGCTCTACATTGTAGATGCTTTGAGGGGCCAAGCTGCATTAATATTTATCAAGTACCTACCATGTAAAAAGGGATTTGAATACATCAAACCATTGAAGATTCCTAATAGGGGAATAACAATGAAAAACAAGTTTAAGAAGATTGATTTTAAAGGGAAGACAAAAATTGATAGACCTGTATATATAGTTGAACATTTGTTGCATCTTTGCTATGTGCTAGGTTCTAAGGGTATAAAGGTGAATGATTTAAGGCATAATTCATGCCCTTGGGAGCTTACCTACATATAAACAAAACATTACCATGCTAACATATTTTGTACTTGCCGCTCTGTTGCTCTGTGGTTGCATTCCAGTCATTTCACATTTATTGGACTCACCCCCTGGTCCAGATCTGTTCCCTGCCCACTGCCCCCACAAGCCCATCATGGGCACCAGAAACAGTCTGACTGCTGCCAAAATTACCAGAGAACCAGCCATGGCTAGTTTGTTTTTCTTTTGTTTTCTTCTCCAGGAGTAACATGAGGGTTCTTTCTCTTCTGGAACTGACGAGACCAAAACATAGGTAGTGCCAAAAGTGGTGACAGAAGAAATCCTGGGAGAAAGTATTTTTGCCTTGTACTTGGGACAACTGCTGGGCCCACCATGGCTCCTGTAAAGATTAGCCACGTGGTATCATTTTCCTCTCAGGTACGTTAATTAGCAGGCATGATTTTTTTCTTGGTGACTGAGAGGAGTGACAAAAATAGGAGACTTGGCTGCACTTTCAGGAAACTCCCAGTTTAATAGAAGAGACATATCCCTTTGGGGATCCAAAGTCAAAGGAGGACACACAGCTCTTGCCCTCAGGTTATTCCCAGAGCAATGCAGGATGCATAAAAGTAGTATTCCCAGGAATTAAAGGTAAAGAAGAAAACAACCTCAGGATTCCATCCTTAGTTTGAAGGGAACTATCAAAACCATAGGCCCAAAGTCTGTACCAGGGTCCCTAGAAGGGCAATTTAGTTACTCTGTCATTGAGGGCAGACCAGGACACTCAAGGTCATTCCTGACGTGTGAGAATATCACCTCCACCATCAAAGGTGATCTCAGGGACGCCTGGGTGGCTCAGTCGGTTAAGCATCTGCCATCAGTTCAGGTCACAATCCCAGGGTCCTGGGATCGAGTCCCGTATCAGGCTCCCTACTCACCAGGGAGCCTGCTTCTCCCTCTGCCTGCTACTCCCCCCTGCTTGTGTGTGCATGCTCTCTCTTTCTCTTTTGCTCTCTCTCTCTCTTCCCTCTCATAAATAAATAAATAAATAAATAAAATCTTTAAAAAAAATAAAGTGACTCAGCCTCCTCCCTAAAAGTTCACTTTTCAGGAAATCCCAATTATCCCAATTAGGTCTAGATGCCGGGCCCTGGGCCCAGGATTGATCCGGTGTGGTGATTCTTAGGAACTTCCTCTCCTGTCATTTCTATCCATTTATCCTTTCTTCCCACTCCTCCCCTTCTGTTACCCTAGTCTTTCTCAAAGAGTACCTCGGCATTTTGGGTGGGATAAGTCTGCATTTATAGCAGGGTCATATGCCTGATGGGATATTTAGCATCCATGGACTCCAGACCCTAATGACAGTGATGCTTCCTGGTCATTATGACAATCAAAGACATCCCCACTCGTTTTGGGAAGACCCTTAAGAGAGTCTTTAGGAACTACTATATCAACTCCTAAGTGAAATAAAAAATTACACATATCCTTCTTACCTACATAGTCAGCCTAAATGGTTTTCTTCATATACTGAGCCCTATAGAGATCATTACTTATCACCTAATAATGAGGTTTTCAAACGGTACTCTGTGGGCACCCACTTCTGGAAATTGAAGGCAGGGGGTCATATATGTCTCTAGGCCCCCAACTTGTTTTTTAACCAGAGCTCTGTTTTTATTTGTTGAAAATACACACACACACACACACACACACACGTTAGTATAAGATTTCAGTTAAGAGGATGGATTTTATTGCTAAAACAAAATTGAAAACCAGGAACATAGTCTCCCTCCCCTTTACTTATAGATGAAGAAATTTACATCCAGAGAAAGTAGTTTGCTCAGGGCCTTTCCACAAAAAAAAAAAAAATCTAACTTTGGATTTGAACTGAGAATGTCTCTTGGTACCGCTATTGTTGCCTTTGAACAAATCACTTTATTTCTAACCATCAGTTGTAAACTTAGAATAAAAATCCTTGCCTTTCTTTTCTCATAGGGTTACTTTGAAGGTAAATAGATGTCTGTGAAAACACCTTATAAATGAAAGGAAATAGTCTAGTGTGGTGGTTAAGAGCTCAGAATTCAGAGACCTAGGTGTTCTGACTTTGGTCGGTTATTTAGCTTTTGTAGCCTTGAAACTAGGCTTCAGTTTATTGATCAGTTAACAAATTAAGAAGCAATAATGTTAGGTAAACTAAAGAGTAAACTAAAGTGTTAAGAGGATGAAATAAGGTAGTTTGGTAAATGAAGGAGAGGTAAGCGGTCTGTAGATCCCCTGGCACATGATAACTCCCATCTAGTGCTCTTTCTATCATGTTAAAATGCCTGGAAAGGTTTGGGAATGTAGGGAGCCCTCCTTCATGGGCATCCTCTTTAGCTTTCAACTCAGTGAGGGTCCTGATGTTCTCCTTCTCTCTCTGACTTAGGATCCTAAGTATCCTGTGGAGAACTTGCTGAACCCACACAGTCAGAGGGGACCTTGGCTCAGCTGCCCTCAGGACAAGAGTGGGCAACTGAAAGTAGAACTCCAGCTGGAGAGGGCAGTGCCCATTGGCTACATTGACGTGGGTGAGTGAGTTCTTGGAGCTCCAGGAACCTCTGCGGGAGACACAGGAGTAACATTGCCTTCCAGATGCTCCACCAAAGTGTCTCAGTTCGGTCTAGCTGAGCACCTTTCATGGAGTAAACCCTTTCTGGTGTGAAGGTGAGGTGTGGCCCTTGCCCTTGGGAGAGGTGTATGGTGTTGGCAGACTGAGGGTTCTGTTCACATAAAATGAAATGGGGATAGCATTCCCTGAATTAGGCAATGTACCTGCCCTGCTTTGATCTGAGCAGTCTGGGTGAAGCCTTAGGACACTGACATAATTATAAATGCCAACAAATAGAACCTGTATACACCTCTAAATATCATTGTCAAGAGCATGTTGGGGGATGAGCTCTGCACACTAATCTGGGAAGGCTCCATAGGAATTTATGGGTTGAGAAGGTTGGCCTTAGAATTCTCTGGAGTAGAGAACTGACAAAGACCATTGGTCTCAGCTCTGTCAGGATGGAGAGATGTCAGGCTCCATACCAGGGGTTAACAGAGACAGAGATTAGCACTGCCTGCCAGAGCCAGAGGACAGAGAAACAGCAAGTCTACCGAGTCAGGGATGAACCTTCATCTTGTCATTCTGTGGACTAAGGTCTCATCCACTTCAGTTGCTGGCTCAGTGTGTTCCTTGACCTTTCCGGGCCTCCAACTAGCTCTAGAAGGGAAGAATGTCCTCTTCCCACCCAATTCCTTGTGCGCAGTTAGGGCAGCATCTTCCCATCACCCTTAAATTCTTCTCTCAACCTTTTGTCCCCAGGTAACTGTGGCTCTGCTTTCCTGCAGATTGATGTGGGCCGTTCTTCCTGGTCCCTGGACAGACCTTTTGTCACCCTGCTCCCTGCAACCATGCTAATGTCCCCAGCTGACTCAAAGCAAGGGAAAAATCGCTCAGGCGTCCGCATGTTTAAAGATGGTAAGGAGGGACGCTTGGGTGGCTCAGTCGGTTAAGCATCTGCCTTCAGCTCAGGTCATAATCCCAGGGTCCTGGGATCGAGCCCCGGGTCGGGCTCCACATTCAGTCTGCTTCTCCCTCTCCTTCTGCTCCCCCTGCTCATGCTTGCTCACTCTCTCTCTCAAATAAATTAATAAAATCTTTAAAAGTAAAGATGGTAAGGGAGGCAAAAGCAGAAATGGGAGAGAGACTGAGTGAGAGAGATTATGAGAAAGAGATAAGGTGATGCAGAGCTAGATAACCCACTATAGAGGGCCATGGAGCTGGGCTGGTAGGTGGGCTTGTGGGAGGGGCCTATGCAGGGGCTCGGTTACGTCTGTGGGACATGGGGTAGGTAGTGAGTGAACAGCTGTGTGGTAGGTTTGTGTATGAGTTTTCTGTGGTGGGAATAGGTGATAGCCGGGAATATCTACGAGCTATGATTCATATTGACACATGACGTGATTTGGTGGAGGCTGATGTAGAACTCTTCTTTGTGAGTAGTGTTTTTATTTGTATAAATGGACTTTAGTGTGAGTACAGTAGTCCCCCCTCCCCCGCACCTCATCCATGGTTTCGCTTTCTACGGTTTCGGTTACCTACCATCAACCACAGCCCAGAAGCAGATGATGCTCCTTCTGACGTAGTGTCAGAAGGTCAAGTAGTAGCCTAACTGTCACAGTGCCTTCCTGCATCAGTCACCTCATGTCATCTCACCACGTAGGCATTTTATCATCTCACATCATCGCAAGAAAAAGGGAAGGTAGGGGCGCCTGGGTGGCTCAGTCGGTTGAGCGACTGCCTCCGGCTCAGGTCATGATCCCAGAGTCCTGGGATCGAGTCCCGCATCAGGCTCCCGGCTCGGCGGGGAGCCTGCTTCTCCCTCTGACCCTCCCCCCTCTCATGCTGTTTCTCTCTCG